GTAGAGAGTGGGGTGTGAGTTCGGAGTGTGGCGAGATACTGGAACAAACTCTGTTACGATAATTGTATGAGTGGCTCATCATCAGTGACATTTTCAATTGTGATCTTCGCAGGTTCTTTCTTGTGATTGATTGTTGGGAGTTGTGTCAGAGACTGAGAAACACTGTGTGTCTTCTCTCTAGCTGTGCATGATTGTCTTCCGCTGCTCATCTTCATCTGTGTGCAGTCTGGACTCTGTCTTCTCTCTCCCCTTCTCTTATGCATGTATGGGCATGTGTGAGACTGTCTGTGTGTGAGTGGCGAGAAAAAAAAAAAAATTCGTCAGACATCCAAGTTCATAACAACTATGTATAAGTTGAAGATCTGAAGTGAAACAAACAGGAGTATGAAGATCTGAAGAGAAATGCACAGGAGCATACTTTAGCTTTTACTCTGCCTCCTGTTATAACATGCATGTGGGCCGTTAAGGCACACGGGGACGTGGCCAGCTGCCTCTCAACCACAATCAATGCGGGCAGGCTTGTACGTGTGAGGCATAGTAGAAGAGGAGATGTTTCCCCAAAGAAACCCCAACTAACTTAGTAAACACAGCTCAAAATGGTTCTGTTATGATTCATATTGATTGCTAAAGAGGTGAGTCCTTTAATTGTTTGGCTGGCTCAACTCGAATCTACTCGTCTGGGTGGAATAGGAGCTGTTGTGGTGGAAACTTAAAACACACACACACGCTAAAGACAAATACCCCAAAGAAGGCGAAAGTAAACATAGTTTTGTAATGACCTGCCAAACACGAACTGAGACACACAGCTGTTTTCTGAGTTTTGCTCATGGGATGTATGCCTTGCTGAGTTTCCCGCTTGTTGCTGAGTTTTCTAAGTCTGTGTGGGTGCATGCTTGCTGCTCTACATGCGTGTCTGAGTGCTTGTCGGCTTGAGTGTGTGTGTGACCCGCAAGGGCACTTGTTTGTTCAGAAGACCCGAAGGGCCGGTACTTACCTATGGCTGTGACATTGAGGGTTGCAGCGGGGAAAACACTCAAGTGGCAGGGAAAGAGGCCCGCGACACTTAGAGCAGTGGAAAACACTTAAGTAGCAGGTAGGCCGGTACCACACCAAGTAGAGGTAGATGTGCCTTCTTGGTGTGGTACCGGGTGCTCGAGGCCGAGCAGCATTTTTAGAGTCCCAGTAGTGTAGGCTCTAGGCGGGGTTTAGGGCCTGTACGAGCAATATCAGAGTCTGCAATGATGCTTCCCTCCGAAAGGGAGGAGGTTTCGTTTGCTGGGAGGCCGCGCGGCCTAGGAAGTCACTCGCCAAGAGGCAAGCAGGCCGCTATATCTCCAGGAGGAGCGAAGTTCTATTATCGGTGTGCAAGTTTGGGACACACTGGTTGGAGCGCTGGCTGGAGCAGCGCTAGCACAGAGCTGCACTGCTGGGGAAGGAGCAAGGACAGGAGGAGGAAGAAGACCAAGACTAGGACGGGGGAGCGCTAGAGGTACTTACCTGGCTATGGTAGTTGCCATCTTCATCACCTTAGTGGGCGCTGTAGCAGGAAGGCCCCAGTTGGGGTAGAGCTACACCAAGAAGCTTCGAGGCAGAGTCAGGCATGGCGGCTAGAGCTGCTTTGTGTTGTTCTTTGCACAGCAAGGTGATGCCTTGGTAGTCCGCCATAGCCTTGGCCTTGAAGGAAGGAGGAAGGAGGAAGGAGGAAGGAGGGTGGTCATGGCTATGGTGGACCTCATCTGATACCTGCAGTGAAAGAGGGATTCGGACATTGATTCTGGTTCAGCCACCCAACATTATTATTATTATTTCTTGTTTGAATAAGAGGGGAGGAGATAAGGAGGAGAGTGGTTGACGAAGAAGACGAGCATTATCATTGATCTATGCTGGTGTACATCATCATCTTCTTCTTTCTCCCTTCTTCTCTTCTTCTTTCCCTCTCTCTCCTCTCAAGTTCATTCATTTCTTTTTGCAATTGCACGGCATTGTACTTTCTGATGAATGTGTACATCTAAATTGGCCAGGATCATAACATTGGTATCATAGCCGATTGTACTTGCTGGTGAGAGTTGACTTATCCACCCTAACCCTAACCTAAGTGGTTAGGGACGACCCCTTCGGGTTAGGGTTGGTCCGAAGTGGGAAGTGGGGCAGCGTGGATTAGGGAAGTCGCCCCCACCTGGTTAGGTCGTGTTGGGTTGGCAATGAACCTGACCAGGTTGATTGAGAGATAGGTCGTGGTGTCAAGACACATCAAGAGGACTTCATGCGACAATTTGAGAGAGGCGACAGTGAGAGGCACCGGCACCTGGAATCTGAACTAAGGGAGACACTTGGTGACTTAAGGGCCTGCCTCAAGTAGGAGATCTTGAGGGAGGTAGTCATTCCGCATCTACGGACTGCAAGTTACTACTTGTTCTTCAGCATCGGTGGGGGATCTGGTGTTGCACTTTGGTGTTGGAGTCAGACTCTCCTACATGATAGGACACTAGTGTAGAGGTAGCAAATAGGGTTAGGAGGACCATATGAGGAAGGGGGGTGAGTTAGACATCATCTCAGAGTCGTGGTGACTCAGGTAAGTGTCGTCCGGTGTAAGTGTCGTGCACCTAAGGGTTGCCCAAGTGTGCGTGCATGGTATTGTTTGTCCTGTTGGGGTACTTTTGGGTCTCTTTCCTACTCCTCTAAGAGTCTGAGGTCTTGGTTGTGTGCATTGGTGTGCAAACTGCTTACTAACCTGATGGATGGAGAGATGAAGTATCTTGCTTTGAATGTCATATCTTTCTACAGTGCTTTATCTTTTCATTCTGAATGGATGTAGTCTGTAGGTTCTCTTCTCGCGCTTTTCAGTTTGTTTCTTTTACCGAAATCCATTTTATGTTCGTTATGACGCCTGGACAAGAGAGGAGAGAGAGAGGTCATGACAACTGAAGGATCTAGTAGTTCCAACATGGCACCAGCCAAGCTTTCTGAGATTCTAAAGGCTCAAGTGGATGCAGCGGATGATGAGGATAAACCGTTGTATCAGGCCCTCTACCAGAGGGAACTAGCTGAGGAGGAGGAGGAAGAGGCTAATAACAAAAAGCAGTCGATGAAGTTACTGAGACCATCTTCAAAACAATCTCAACCATGTCTGATGTAGATTTCAATCTCAAGCTCTCTTCCCCTACCTCTTGTTGCCCACCGTTTTACCTTTGCACCTCTCCATAATTCTTCCTCTTATTTTTCTTCGTTGAGTTTGGTGGCAAATCTTTCATGACCTGCAACAGGTGAAGATTTCGCTGCCTCTACAAGTGATAGCGTGGGAAATTCTGCAACTGCTGCAGCCCTGAGATCGGACCCAGCAATGGCTGGTCCCAGCTATAGCAGTCCATACACAGACAGAAAGGCGGTTTGAGTGTTAGTGAGTTAGCAGTTCACCCCATTATTGAAGGGGTACTTTGTCGGGGAGGGACAGCTGGCACCAGGTGGCTAGCATCTTGGTCCAGAAGGGGTCCTTGTTTAGGTTGCTTCTAGCTGCCTAGTGATTTGTCCTGTGTTAGACAACTTCCGTGGCAGTGGCCAGTGTCGGTTCTCCAACCATGTGGTCGGGTCCATTCCAGAAAGGACTGGTGGGGCCAGCCTTACTATCTGTTGTAAGGCCAGAGCTTTCCATGGGATATATGGAGTGAATAGGAGGCTCTTAATCCACTTCAAAGAGAGTGCCTTGACTTGCGTCGTGGGTCTATAATGCCCACTCTTTTCATCTTGGGTTGTATTACCGACTCTCACGCCACTGTGCTGATCACTTTCTTGCATTTGTGGTTCACTCACCAA